CGCAATTGCGGATAGATACCGTCAGCATCCAATGCGTACAAGATGCGAACAGAAACCGACAGGACTCGTATCCGTAATTGCAGCCAGATTCCTACAGGTCGACATTTGCATACAGACGCAGATAGATACGGTATCCGCAATTGCGGATCGATACCGTCAGCATCCGATGCGTACAAGATGCGAACAGAAACCGACAGGACTCGTATCCGTAATTGCAGCCAGATTCCTACAGGTCGACATTTGCATACAGACGCAGATAGATACGGTATCCGCAATTGCGGATAGATACCGTCAGTATCAGATGCGTACAAGATGCAGACAGAAACGGACAGGATTTTCTATTGCAAAAGCTTACAGATACTGATATGCCGATGGATTTTCATTAGATGCAGATATAAGCTGTTACATTTTCTGTCTGCATTTGCAGATACAACAATGCTGCTTATAGAAACAGATAGGAATTGAATCTTCTCATGAAGCTTGCAGTTAGATCGGACAGCATTCCGTTAGAAGCTGTTAGATGTCGTATACAAGTTCTATCTGTTTCTGACTGTTTATAATGGAAATTTTTACTAGGGAATAGCACACCATTTTGTCGTATGCTGTTTGATATGCATCCATCAGCGAAACTTCTAGTACATTCCGGGTGTTCTGTTGCTCCAACTGTTTGGCAGTTGCTTCTATCTTATCGAGGACCATGTTGTACGTCAGGACCACCATGGGCAATGTAGCATATTTTGATGGGATTTTCTTGGTAGCAGGGTATTGTGTTTGTGGTAGCGAGAGATCGGAACTAGAGTAGCTTAACACACTTTATTAAAAGAAACGAAAAGAAACAGGACACTGTATAGTGCGACTCGTGTACGGCTCACGACCGATCGACAGACTGACTGACGGAAACGACGAAGACCGGAAAAGGTCCGAAAAACAAAAGAGGAATAGAAAAGGGTTCCGCAACACACCGTCAGTCTCACACGCATACGCGCGAATTACAAAATGCGAAAACCAATCATTCAACATATTTATCCCCTCCTATCAGCGTTGATACAGAAGCAAAATTCTTCAAGAAAGATGCAAATCTTTGCATAACTTCCAACTCATCTTTTGTAAACTGCCATTGAGTAAAATCCGTTTCAGCACAAATAGCATTGATGGATCGTTTCATACCTAAACCAGCTTTGAGCATATTGTATGTCGAATTCCACCTTGTACATACATATATCGACAATCGGTGAAATATATTTCTCAGAAAAAAGGTTACAAAAGTTTCTAAACTTAATTTGTAGCTGTTCGGATCGTTTCAATTTTTTAAAAATCATCCGAAGCTTAAAAATGGCGAAAGTCGGTTGCATTCCTCATTCTCATCATCGGAACTACTACTATCATAATCATCTCCAAGTTCTCTACTTTCTTTGTATACTATGAAGAGGGTTATCGCACTTTGGGCTGCCAAGTTCAAAACGTGCGCGACTCTAAAGTGTTGATTTTGTGGATCAAATTGAAACCCATCGTTGGACATTAAATTGGTAAACTCTTGAATAAAAGTTGAGTTTACTGCACAATTGTCGACTGTAATATCCTGCACTTTATGCAGAATACCATACTTCTTCAGGGAAGTAAAAAACATTTTGGCAATTTCCACACCGGAATGCTTCCCGTTGGAGGCAACAAAATCCAAAGCAATAGAATGATATTTAAAATCATCGGTAATAAAATGTCCTGTAATGCCGTAGTATGACTTTCCGTTGATTGCTGTCTATCCATCAATGGTAAACGAAATAGCAGAAGTATAATTTGCTAGAAAATCTCTTTGATTTTGCTCTGCGTTTGCTCAAAAAGTTGTTCTGCCAGTTTCCTCAGTGTATTCCGGTTTGGAACTTTTAAATTTGGATTGATCAGCTTGAAATAACCCACAGTAAAATCGTCGTCGAAGAATGAGAAAGGTAAGTACTTTTTCGCCATCCATTTTACTGTCAACACGTTGAATTGTTGTTGAGTGAAACCTCCGTCAGATTTTGAAGATGACACCTAAAACAGTGTAATATTATGTAGTGTATAAAACTTAATGGCATATTAAAACAGCGTAGATATCCCTAAGTTCGTTAGAATATATGAGTATATCAACATTAAGAATACAAAATTAAACTAACGTTGATACCCTTAAAAATAAATGTTATTGTTGTTATTTTTATTATTGTTATTTGTCAGAATTTTACTATGGGTAATTACTTGTAAATTAGTTTTTCCAGAAGTTTCGAAAATATTTATTTTTCTTTTGTCCATATACAAAGTTATACTTGGCGTTTTTTGATAATTATGGGATACCTTGTATATTATTTGTGACAAAATATTATGTAGGTAGAACTCGTTAACATAAACCGCCTCCCTTGAAAGGACAGGCTTTCAACATAAATTAACAATATCTGATTTAAACTCAAATTAAATACTAACTAAAAGAATGTATTGCAAACGGATCAACGACATCGAAACATAAACTGTTCTTTGGCATAAAAGAAAATTAAATTCAAACTTTGTAATATCATGTCCTTTAAGCTAATTATTCTAATTTCGGTGCGTTATCTACGGGTATCGGGCACAACTTCTTGACCGATCTCTTGACTTCACCGCTTCGGGTTCTCACGGATACGACTCTTACAACTCCATCCTGGCCAGGAAATAAGGCAGAGACTCTGCCAAGGCTCCACTGAAGCGGCGGAACGTGATCCTCCTTCAATAGAACCAGCGTGTCCATCGTTATGTTGTCTCCGCCGTCTGCCCACTTATTTCGCCGTTGCAGTTCTTGCAGGTATTCGGCTTGCCATCGCTCCCAGAATTGTTGGCTCAACTTCTGGATATGCTGCCTCCGAGCAAGACGGTTCTCCGGTAATCCTTTCGCGCAGGTAGGAGGATCGAGTCCCCAATCAGGAAATGGGAAGGAGTAAGCACGGAAAAGTCCCTTGGGTCGCTGGATAATGGGGTTAGTGGTCGCGAATTTAATATCGCTTCGATTTCTGCCAGAAGAGTGGCGTATTCTTCATAGGTAAGTATTCTTCCCTTTGTGACTGCATTGAGATGTATCTTCGTGAGCTTTACCACCGCCTCCCATGAACCGCCAAAATGCGGAGCACGGGGTGGTATAAAACTCCATGCGATCTTCCGTTGAGCGAGAGCTGATTGCATTTTTTTTCCTTCCTTCTCGAGAAACTCGTAAATTTCCTTCAACTCTCGAGCTGCTCCCACGAAATTCGTCCCGTTGTCTGATAACATCTGGGAACAAATACCGCGCCTTGCTATAAAACGGTTTAGGGCTGCCAGAAATGCCGCTGTTGAGAGGTCTGACACGAGCTCCAGATGTACAGCTCTCGTTGCAAGACAGGTGAATAGGGCTATATATCCCTTCGATATATGCACCCTTCCTCGGCGCCGACTTTCACGCACTTGCAGGGGGCCGGCGTAGTCCACTCCGGTATTCGTAAAGACTCGCTGGTATCCGATTACTCTTACCCCAGGCAAGTCTCCCATTTTAATTTCAGGAGTAGTTGGACGAAGTCGAAAGCAGATTAAGCAATTTTTCACTATCTTACGGGCCTCTCGACGTCCACTTAATGGCCAGTATCGACTCCGCACCACACTGAGAAGCTGCTCAGGAGGGCAATGATGCAAACGGCTGTGTTCTTCGCGCATAATCGAGCTTGTAATATAATGTCTTGCTGATAATATGATAGGATGCCTCCCTTCCATTGATAAACTAGAGTGTCGGAGTCTTCCACCGACTCTAATGAGTCCCTTCTTGTCCATAAAGGGATCTAACGCTCGCAACTTGCTCTTGCTTGATAAAATTCTATCCTTGATTAGATCCTCATAGTCTTGTAAGAATGTCTCCTGCTGAACCATCCTAGCTATAATTTCTTCTGCTTCGCCGAGTTCGTCAACCGTCAACGGGCCCTTCATTCTCGTTTCCAGCACGTGGCGCTTCCATCTTATAC